ATAGTTCCCCATAGCATTGCCCTTTTTCCCAAGTAAATGCTAGGGGGATCGACCCCTAGTAGGCTGACCAAAGGCCGATCTTGACATATGCCATGTAGATTTCATTTTTCCTTTAAGATAAATTTGATATTTGGTCCCTATTTTCAACCATTTAAATTTATTTTAAACTTGTTACATTTTTTTTTTGGTTAAAATTAATTTAAACTAATCTTGTTAGATTTTAAAATTTTTAAGGTTTTGTGTTTAAGGTATTAGGATTTAGTGTTTAAATTTTTCAAAGAATTAGTATGTAAGACATTAGAGTTTAAATTGTTTGGGTTCTATGTTTTTATGATAATAGAGTTTAGATTTTTTTGGATTCTATATCTTATGATCTAGGGTTTAGATTTTTTGTAAATTTAGTATTTAATGTGTTAGGGTTTAGATTTTTAAGGTTTAGGGTGTAATATTTAAAATTTTAAGTGTTTAATAATCTAAAAATTAAAAATTAAAAGGCCATAAAGTAAAATTAAAAATTTTAGAATTAAGAAGAAAACATAAAGAAAAACTATAGGGACCAATCCCTTTTTTCCTACCATTATTGCGGGAAGTGTAGCAGCACTTGATAAATGTGAAAGATCGTCAAGCTTAATTGCACTCCTTTATTCAAACAAGGCATTTGATTTTCAAAATTACAGCAAATCAAGATTCCAGCAATTGCCAACCGGGCTGTGGCCTAATTGGTTGGCCCCAAACTTTAGGGTTTGGGTGAAGTGGAGATCAGAGCTTCGAGCTCTGTCACCGCCGTGAACTCCACCAACTTACAACCTAATGATCGCGCGCTTCAAATGAGGGGGTGAAATGTTCACTTTCCTGAAAAAATTTCAGCTGTTAACAAACTAACTCTACTAACTTCCTAACCATCTACCTGGTCAAAAAAAAAAAAAAAGATTCCAGCAATTAATTATCAAGATAATAGTAAGATGCAATCATCCATTAAGACTTCAAATCAGAATCTTTGAGTACTCACTAGTGCAAGATTATGGGATCAATTGTTATTTTTAATTACAAAATTATTTATGAATAATTTTTTTATATTATTTTTTTATATAATTTTATGTATAGTTTAAATAATTAGTTCTTTTTATTTATTTAAAACTCATAATATTAAATGATTTACTTATTTAATAATATAAAAAATGATATAGAATTATTGTCTTTATATCAATACCCATTTCTAACCAGACTATTTCTACAATTATGGTCTAATTAACATTCAAATTTCATATTGTAATTGTATATAAAAAAAAAAAAAATTTACAACGGCTACTGGCATCTTGCAGAAAGGTTTTTCCTCACAAACGCAATTGTTCATTTTATCATACATACAGTTGGTTTGTAAATACTATATTTTGGATGAGAAAATCTTGCACGTCTTAAATGGATAAAGAAATATTTATCTTGCCAGTGGAGAATTAAAACACTTAACCAGTTGAGCTACATGAAAGGACTAGGTTGATTTGGAGTAGGTTGGTTTGAATTTGAGCTGAAATTTGGTGAATGAAAAGAAAAGAAAAAGCAACTTCCAAACGATCGACAGGATCTTATTACAGAAACACATGGGGAAGTTAATTCTACAAATCACAGCATAAACTGCAAACGAAGTATGACGGCTATTGTCTAGTTTAACCGTTCCAAGCATTATGCAGACGTTGCAAAACGAAAGAGCATAGGGTAATTATTTGTTACATTGAAACACCATGAGAGGGTGGGATTTGATTTGTTCTTTAATTTAGCCCATCTTGCCTTCACCTCCAGTCTGCATTTTAGCATAGTACTCGAACAAACTACCATCGAAGCAGCGTCTAACAGCTTCTTTAGACAGGTAGCCATCGTCATCCCTTGCAAGGATATAGAGAAGCCCCCATTCCAACTTAGCAGCTACCCTGCATGTGTAAGGTATTCTCAGATGTAAGAAGGATCATGTTCTTTTTCAAATGGGCTTGAAAGCGAAACAAAGAGAATACCTGCCAAACAAGTCGAATGCAACTCGGTTTCCCTCAGTCATTTCCCAGAGCTCTCCTGGTGATAATTTGTTGGGCACTGAACGAGCATATTTGCTAAACATGTTCTCAATATATGATGGTGTAAACCTGCATTTTTGAGGGAGTAAAAACTCAGAATTGCATATCAAGAATTGAAGCTCCAATATAACAATCAAATATAATAAAGAAAATGGTAGATTGAATAGCATCTTAAAATGATTCCGTGAACATTGACAAAGAATCATTCAAAGGGTCAAAAATATGTATATCGTTTTATGATGCTTGCTTTCAAACTTCAAAGAATTCAAACTATTCTGTTTTTTCTCAGTTTAGATAGGATCAAACTTAAATGATTATGTATCTGAACTTTGAACTTGAGCAATACTTGATTCGTTTATCTGTTAAGCAATACCTCATCATACCTCAAGATTACAGGAGAGTGAGTGTATGGGATTTTTCCTAGTCATCCAGAAACCAGACTCGAACTACTTTGCTGCATATTTCTACTCAGGTTTGTTTTGAGTATTAATTCAGTGTCAAATGTGTGTCATATTCATGACACTGGGCAGAAGTTTCAAATGATTTTGTGCTATATTCTCACCTTCCTTCAGTGTCATACACCCCTGTGTCACTGCCATGTTTTGCCCTGTGAATGTTGTGTATGTATATGGGGAAGAAAGGCGAAGGCAACCACCCCTTCAAAGCAACAAAAGAACCTTTTAAAGAATTGATTTTTTTTTGAAGGCAACAGAAATCAGAGAACCAAATTGATTAGTACTGTCTAGCATGAAGAAAAATGTGCTTTTATCTCAAGCGTATATGATATAATCCCTATTAGAGAGCTTCAAGCAATTCCCATTCCACTAGTTTCACATTCAAAACCTCCAACTTGCATAGAATGCATTAGTAAATTTAATTGACAGAGAAGGGGAGACAATCAGGAAATCAAACTTACTGGAAGAGTTGGATAGCTCAAGCCAGCATTGATGACAATGGCCGCAACAAGGGAGACAATTACATTGAAACCAATAGCTCGCAGTCCTGTTTAGACAACAAGATGGCAAACAACATATCCAAAGATAAACAAAGGATTATAAGAGACTTATTAGTCGGGCGGTAATATGTTTGATTAATTACCAGTATATGTTTCCCAAGGGTAAACAATTCCATTATCATCTTGGTCGAAGAAAGCTACATGTTGCTGAAGCACACTCATCTCATAATGCTTGTGTCCCGGTGTCCCATGTGGATGCTCTGTGTCTGGGGCTTGCAATGCCCTAGGCAGATCTGAATATCCCAGAAACAAAACACATCAAAACAAGGGAAATTCAAAAGATTTTCATTATCGAATACGTGGTGGGCTACTATATATCAAGAGAGGCAGAAAATCAAACCCCAGAACTAAATAATCAAAACCTTTAAATACAATGATGAAATATGCATACTTTCGAGACAAGAATTAAATTAACTTACAGGGTTTTGGGAGTTTCTCCTCCAAATCATTCCTGACCTGTCTCTCATAAGTCACGGGGGCCAAAGGAGCTTCTGTTGCCAATGAGTCATTCTCCCTAACCGAGGTCATCTCTCTTTCTCTCTGTTCTGTAGATGTGATTTCCTCTCTGATAGTCTGATTCTTCTTCTTCTTCTTCTTCATATTGTAGGTGGAAAGGAGTAGCTTATGCGGATTGCGTGGCAGACATGCAGAGAAAGCACGTTGCTTTGAGGGCATGTGTCGTCGAGAGACGGTGCTAGAGGACTTGCAGATTAGTTCCTGCAGCCTTCATCGGTGCAAACTGGTAGTAGTGCCGTGGGAGCGAAATTCGATCAAGGTGTCATGCAATGAAGCTGACACACAGATATCAATTAATCATCGAGATTTTCTCGAGAAAATTGAAATAGAAAAAGGTCAAGAAATGAAATAGTCCATGTAGAAGATTTGTTGTTGACATGTTGTTGTTGTTGTTGTTTTTTTTTTTTTTTTTTTGGGCCATGTATGTAGAAGTTTGCATGCCATAGAAATGCTTACCAAAAGATTGTAAATTTGATTAATGAATCACGCATAAATAATTCAATAAAAATAAAATAATTTCACAAATATTTTTGTAGCTTTTACATAGAAACTAAGTACAAAATTTTTTTTTCTTATTTTTTATGTTATAGAGATTATCTAATTTGTATTTTTAAAATATAATTAAATTGCATTGATTTTATTTTTGTTATTAATTTTATATTCAAAATAAAAAGTTAACTCTATTTTCAACATTAATAACACATGCATAATTTTAATTTAGTATTTAATAAAATTAAAGAAAACTTTTATTATTAGTGAGATCACTTCCGTGAATTGCAGTTTCAAATATCATAGATTCTTTTTCCCATATCCTTTTACCCCTCTTCCCCTTATTGTAATCATGTTCACAAAAAAAAAAA